TCCTTTCCTTTCCTTTCCTTTCCTTTCCTTTCCTTTCCTTTCCTTTCCTTTCCTTTCCTTTCCTTTTCTCTTCCCTTCCCAAGCGATTTCATACAGATTTTGTCTGTACGGATTTTCTCTTGTCAACAGTACTGTGTGCTGCCACTGTTCTGTTCACCCACGATTTTCTGTGAGAGTGTGTTTTTTAAGAAATATATATATATATAAACTATTGTTACCGATTTGTACAAAATGGATCCATTAAATTCTTTGATTAATTAACCCGTTCGATGGATGTTTCTGTAAAGAATCTCCTCACTTTTCCCTCTTCCTGTATATAAATACATATATATATATTTCCTCCCCCTCCACACCCAGTAGTCGCTAATAAAGAAAGGCCCGGGGGGGGTGCGATGATTGACTGTCCATTTTAGCTCCCACTGGTAATGACTTCTAATACCTAAACATGCCCGTCCCCACCCAGAGTGTGGTTCCTGTTGAACCGTGGGCGCTGAAGCTCCTGGGGGGGTTCTAACGGGGTGGGGGGAGACCACTCTCTGACGTCACTGTCAGGGCGGGGGCCAGGCAGCCCCCCCGAAGCGCGGGGACCCGGGGCCGCTGCTCCGGAGCATCTGCCCTGCGAGTAGCCCCGATGAGAACGAAGCGGTCCCACAGCGCGGCTTTAGCATCTCCATCCTGCCACAGAGTATCAAACCTACAGGGTCCACTACAGTGATTCAGAGAAAGAAGGGAGGGGATAAACAAACAAACAAAACCCAAAATAAATAACCAAACCTATCCGCTGGGGTAGCTTGAAACTACTGAATGGTGCCGGTTTAATTACTTTAATGTTGTTTAAGAATAGCAGATAGTGTAAGCAAATAAATAGCATGGGCTGCTGGAAGGGGGTTCTATGGCTTGCGGAGTACAGACAGAAGGCTGCTGTAACCGCATCCTCTTGTGCCTGACAGATCACCTCTGCACCCAGGTGACTGGGGTTACTGTGTGTGTACAACTGCACACACATGCATATACACACGGGTAAATTGGTATCTATAAATATAAAAGCTACAGGAAAATTAATAGCTGGTCAGTGACTAAAAATACCCCCACGCCCAGTGTTTCCTTACTGATGCATCTGTATTTTCCTCCCACGGCAGCAAGTCGGTGTTCCCTTCTTCACTCACCCAAACGCGACAACTTTTGTATTGAAATACCACAAATACTGACAACAGCATGTCGCTACCGGGAATACACGTAGGGAATTAGCTAGGCGAGAGCAATGTGCAAAAGAGGAGACTAAACAGGGGAGAGTTGTGCCCCTCTGCAGCCCCCGAAACTTGTGTCACGGAAATCGAGAGGTGCAGAAACCAGATGTGAGCAGGGAGGATGTTTCCATGATGTCCTGATATCTGTTTATTTCTTTATTTCTCTATTTACAGAAGTATTTGGATGTGCAGGCTAATCACCTTTAATTTTTCATTTGCTTGTTACAGATGTCTACCCCGTTGCTCTCAAGGTAATCTAGACAGACGCAGCTGAAAGCCTGAATCTTTTGCCTTAGACATCAAAGCAAGCTCGCACAAAGAAGTATTTCTTCACAACGGTGAATCTTCATGGTAAGTTAGGATTTCTATGGCAATAGGCAAGTCATACTTAAATAGTGAAAGGCGAAGTCTGGAGCCCGTCCAGTCTTTTCATTAAGGACATAATATTTACGTCTAACAGGGCCTTTTTCTTGTGTATACAAGTATATATTTTTGTTTGACGCGAACTAAATCATTTTCATTTAATTTCCGGTAAACAAAACCCACGCGAACAGGGCACTTGTTCCAGACCATAATAAAAATGGATAAGACTGTCAGGAAGAAAAGGCCCGCTTGAACCGTCGCCTCAGCTCACTTTTGTTTCTGCTTTCTGCCAGGATCAGAGAATGCATTTGGGATTTGAGGGAGAGTTTCTAAAGGCAAGGAAATGGTTTTTAAGGGGGGAAAGAAAAGGAGAAAGGTCTAATCAAGCTCGGGTTGTTCAAAGAGCCTGATTTTGGGGTTGAAAGTGTGAGTTTTATGGTGCATCAGCATGCCACGTTAGGATCGCTATGGTAATGAGGAGAGCAATAGCAAGCGGCCTTCAAAGGAGGCACACTCCATTTGAGACAGTCTATTAAGATACATTTGCACTGACCTTTGGTTTCATGCTAGCTTAATACACTCAATCTGCTCCCCGCTAGAGATAGACTTCCTCCACCTAATGCACTTCGGCGGAGCTGGGCTTTGCTGGACTTCGCCCTCCCCCCGAGGCAGGCTCCTTTCCGGCGCTATAGCCCCGGTCTTCTTCTCCCCAGAATAAGGGACTGACAGACCCCCAGGCTCGGGGGGGTCTCTCGCCCCCTCTCCTCAGCCTTTCTGACCAGCTTCTCGCAGCAAAACTGGCCACAAAGCCTGAGAATTGCTTCCTTCTCTTTTCCCCTCCACCCCCGGCAGGGGAAGATAGGATGGGTACTGAAAGACCCCCCCCTCCTTGGGCTGTCTTGGCCCCAGGGAGTAGGTGTGCTCATGGAAGTGCCCCAGGACCCGGGAAAGCGGGGCGAGGCAAGGGGGGAGCTGCCCGTGCCCCCCTTCGCACCCCGCCCGTCCCGGCTGCCGCTTCGCGGCACCGAGCGGAGGCTCCGCGGTGCGGGGGAACTTGACACCCGCATGGCCGGGGCCATGGGCGCTGGGCCATGGGCCCGGGAAAGTTAGAAGTCCATGTTCCAGTAATTGTCTTGTTGTTTATTTTATCCAAGTACCCTAGTGAATAGGGGAAAAATAAACACGGGGGGAAAAAAATTCAAACAGTTGAGTCGTCTTTAGTGCCAGCCCTTGTGGTTGAATAAAAAGGATGGTCCAATTTCTATTGAGCTGAGAAATCTTTGAAGTGGGAGTTATTATCTGAGAAATTCCTGCTCGTCGTCCTAACAACGCTGATGAAACGTAAAAGGTTCTTTGTCAGCGATTTGTTCTCCTCTCTGTCAAACTCACCCTGCCCGTTAGCTTTAAACCGTTTCTAAAGAGATAAAAATCAAACTTTTAAAGATAACTTTAGGGGCCCAGAGGGTGCAGAAAATACCAAACTATCGAATCCTGTGTATAGACATACATTTGGATATATGTGGCTGTGTCTGCGTGAAACTCTGTCTGTGTACAAACGTCCATAGATATCTGTATGACCTTCCAGTTCGAAAGTTGAAATTATGTCCATTTTTTTGGTATTTCATCCTCCAAACTTTTCTGTCTAATAAATTATTCCTACACACACTCTGCACAGAATGAGAATCTTGGGCGAAGGCAGAAATGTTGGGTTTCAGCAACACCACTATGTTACCAACAAATGTTTTCTTTCCAGTAGAGTGAAAACGAGACCGTAGACATAAGAGTAAAACCTTTGATAATTTTAACGGTCCAGATACCTATCAAGCATGTATATAGTGCAATGTATCGAAGTTGTTAACGCATTCCAAGTGATGGCTTCCATATGTTCTCATGTTTTATTGTCTGTGAGTGTAAGGATAGTTGAACTGCATCCCTTTTGTATCTTCATTTTATAAACATAACGGTGTTGTACTGAAATGATTCGCTGATCAAGTTTTGTTTAGTAGCTTCTCATTGGAGATCATGCAATACTCTGTTCAGAATACGAATTTCTTGAAGTTGTAACTCACCAGTGTACTTCTGTTTTAGTTGTTACAGAATGATCTGAGCCTAATCCTGCCATTCTAAGCCAATCCATTAATTTAATGGGACCTTTCCTGGGTAAAGACCGAGTCAATTTGCAGTGGAGTGGGTATTATTATTATTATTGTTATTAATTTTGGATCATGTCATATTTATGGGAAAATCTAGCACATTCTTTGTGAACTGTACAGAGAAGAAGCCTCTGAAAAATGTAGCTCTCAAAAAAACATTTACAATGTTGATATGCTGTATCTCTTTCCAAACTTCTTATATTCCTTATTTTTCTTCATCACGTGTTTGGTAATGAAGGAATGTTCTGTTGTGTGCTTGAACATACTATTTATTTTTAATATTTGGATTTTTTTACAATAAATATTTATAAACGTTTCATTTCTATGGTTATTTTTACAAATGTACACTTTTAAAATATGTGTTGGCATACTGATGATACCGAGCCATTCCTAAAACACTGTGTAATCAGCCTTGGCTTTTTGTTGGTTTTCATATCAGTTGACAAAAAATTTCCCCAAACCTATGTACTATTAATGTGGTGTACAATCAAGTATTAATGCGTGGGGGGGGTTTTGTTGGTCTTTAACCTTTTTTTAATGTTAATCGTTTTAGGTTGGCATTTGTATTAAAAGAACAAAACAAAACAGTTCTGTGGCTTCATTTCTGGGACAACATTTTTCAGATCGCAGACTTCAAACGAATTGTACTTTAAGCACTGACCAAAGTGTAGAGTGTAAAAACAGAGACCAGCGTCACCCAAGTGGAGCTCTGTCCCTCTGGGGTGTGTGTGTGTCCCGGTTACCTCTGCAGTGGCATCCTGGCTCCTGCGCGGTCAGCGTGCGGCTCTGGGGTCACTAACACTGGGGATGTTGGTCACTAACAGTCTGGGCATTGGCGACAGTTTTCAGCGGGGCCACCCCGAGGGGCTGCCGCTCCCCGCCACCCCGAGGGGTTGTTGTTTCGCAGGATGCAAGTGTTCTTTTGAAGAATCACCCCCCCCAGCCACAATGAGCCCCAGTCACAGTGACACTTCTTGTAAGGTTCCTAGGAGGATTTAGAGCATTTTATGCCTTTTTCTTTTCTTTTCTTTTCTTTTTTTTTTTTTTTTTTTTTTTTTTTTTTTTTTTTTGAGAGAGAGAGAGAGAGAGAGAGAGCGAGCAAATTCTGTCGTCAGCTAAAGTAATCTGAAAGTGAGCATTCTTTGCCTCGCATATTCTCCTAATCGGTGTTAACGCGTTACAGGGTTCCGAAGCTCTCGAACCTGCCCAGAGTTTTCCTCGCATGACAAACACAGCTCCCAGCTTTGCTGTTTGGAGGGCTGGAGCAGCCTCGGGCACAGCGCGGCCCGAACCCGGCGGGCGCCTTGCGCATGCGCTGCCTTGAATCCTTTTAAGAAAGGAAAACTTGAAAGAAGTTGCCTAACACAGAGAGATGACAAAAAGTTGGCTTTGGCTGCCAGGAATATTGTCAATAAAGAATACATTTGACTACATGAAGGGAGAGAGAGAAAGAAAGAAAGAAAATAATTTAAGAAATAACAGAATTCAAGAAAAAGGAAAGAAGGGAAACATTTTACTGGTCTGTAAAAGACAAAAACTGGCCCATAAAGGAAAGGAGGGCTAACAGTACATGCTAATTAAAGAATACAATTCTATGGTCTATAATGATTGAGCGAAGACATGTACTTATTACACTTGACTGTCAACAAGGGAAGGAATGTCCCCTCAGACAACATGGTGAGAGACGTGTGGGCATTATTAGTGGCCCTTTTATAGACATTGCCTTTTCTTTCTCAACGCTGACAAACCATTTTGGAGGGAACCATCCCCTGTTGCTTCCTATCATCGATCCCCATGCAAGGCCCTGCATTGTGCAAGTGCATTAATTAAAGACCATTCATTTAACAAAAGCACATTGTATGTTCAGGAAAGGAAGATTAGAAATATGAATCAGTAACCGAGGCTCGTTTCCGCCGCCTTACCGGGAGAAGCAGAGGGGAAGGAGGTGCAGCGTGCAGTTAAACACCCCGCACCTCCCGGACGGAGCGGAGCTCAGCCCCGGTTAGGCTTTTTGGGAGAGAAACCCTGAAATTGATTACAATTGAAAACAACAAAAAAAGGTTGTCAAGTGTCTCTGTGGGTGCCGGATTGCTCGACCCTGCTCGGCGCCTCGCCAGCCGCCTGCCCCATGGAGCCGCCCAGCCCAGCCCGGCCCGGATCGGTCCGGCGCCCCATCCCGGGGTCGGGCCCCTCCACCCGGGCGCGACCGCGTCCAGAGCTGGTGTGCGTGTGTACACACATCCCCACAAACATTTGTTATGTCAACGGGTTTTTTCCAGCTGCACGTAGAGGCAGACACACGGACCTGCGCCCACCCCTCTCGATCCCTCCGCTGCCCAGATTTTTCCAGTCCGAAGGAAAAACCATCTGGTCCCCCAAAGCCGGTCGCGACACGAGCGTGTCTTGTCGTGAGAAGGTAGAAGGAAAACACAGGGAGAAAGAGGTTATGAGGCAGTGGGGGAAGGACAGAAGACGGATTCCCAGTATCACCCACATGACTTGCTAAGCGGCTCCAGCTTCTCTAAAACCTCTGGGCCATATGTTGGTTTATTTACACCCTTTGTCTTTTCGTGTGTCGCCTACTGAAATAATATTCCTGGGATAGAAATGAAAGTAAGCTAGAGTAAACAAACAAGGGGAGCGCCTGCTTAAGAGATATGTAACATTTCTGAGATCCCAGCAGAGTATGTCGTTCCCATGGTTATAATGGGGCCAGGATAGCAATTAGAGATTTTAGTTAAAACCCCTAGATTTTTAATGCCGAATGACACATTGACTCCATTTTCTTCTAGATTATTTAGAGCTTTTGCAGAATTGCGTTATGAGAGGAGAAAGAGTCACCACAAAACCAACTCTTTAACAGTTGAAAGAAAAAAAAGACACAGCAGATTAAGGTGTTCCTAATGATGACAACAGCTCAGAGAAACCTCCACGACTTCCCGTGAGGCTGACTTTATTCACAACTTCTTCTACATTAGGATCCATCCCGCTCTGAGGCCAGAACTACGTTGGCTCGTCTGCATCAGGCGCCGAGATCCCGCGGGGCTGCAAAGGGTGCGGGCACCAACTGCGCGTTTTGAAATCCGCGCATCAACTTCGTTTTCTTCTTCATCCGAGGCAGCCAGCCCCATGGCCAGGCTGGAGCACACCGGGCTACGAGGAAACCTTTTTCTTAAAATAAGTAGGACGCTCTAACAAATCGGCAGATTTTTAGTTGTTTAGAGGTTTTTTTCTTTCCTCCCATGTCAAAGTTACCGACAGAATCGGCTCGATACTGTCGTAAAACCTGTCTTCCTGTCATTGCGGCTGTACCTGGACTGGGGAAGCCACCCCGGGGTGCCGGGTTGAGCCCTCGGTGGCAGGAGCCAGGGTGAGCCTTGAGTGGCTGCGCCGCCCTCCCAAGCTGGGGGAATCCCCTGAGAGCGCCTTGCCAGCGCCCAGCAGCCCCCTCTTGTCCCGTGTCCCCCTCCCGCCTCGCTGCTGCCCCTGAGGATGCCTGCTACAGGACGCCCTGAAAGTCAGACAAAAGCGCGGACACCACCATTTCCACCCAACCCCCCCCCTCAACTGTTTCGGGAAGACACACAAAAAATTAGTCTCCAACTTTTGCCACTATAGTCACTGTTGGTTTAAATTATCCTCTGCCCTGGATGCGGGCAATAGTGAAGCAATGGGAGCTCCTTGCTTCACCGTCTGCTCCTGCCAGCGGCCAGGAAACAGGATGCATCTGAACTTGGGTAAAACTGGGCTGCCCTCCTGCAGCCCTCCCTCTTCCCTCGTTCCGGGGAGTCCAGGAGTAGGGAGCCAAAGGGAGGTTTCAAGGGGGAAGGTTTTGTTATCCCTACCTGAGGACAGATTAATCCTCGCATATACTTGATAAAAATGAAGATTTTGCTGGGAGGAGGAGGAAAAAAAAATGGGTAGGAAGAGAAAGGAGTCACCGGATTGTTATTGTCT